GTCAGGCTGAGGATGGAGCGGGGGTGGGGGTGGGGCTCAAGCACGAGGAAGGGGCTGTTGGGAGGAGGAGGGGGGCTGCACTGGGGCGGGTGGGGATGCGTGGGAAGGCTCAGTGATGGAGGCTGGTTTCCAGGGATCCTCGTCAGAGCCTGTGGGGGCCACTCAAGTGGCGGGGACCCTTTGCTGAACCAGTCCCTCCTCCTGTCAAGCCAGTGTTCTCGGTCACTGCCGCCCCGTTCAGGGCGTGGAGGGGATGCATGCCGAAGGGTGGGGTCGAGGCCAGAGCTCGGACCCAGGACCGAGCCAAGGGAGGACAAGGACCGCGACAAGGGGTGGGGGGCGGCGCGGGCCTCGGGATCGGGCGGGGCCGGGGGCGGGGCGCGCAGGGCGGGGTCGATTACAGGTTGACTGACACGCGGACGGACAGACTGACGGCCGCGTGGGCCCCTCACCACCATGGTCGCGTAGCCTCCTCAGGCGCCGGCCGCGTTCGACCCTTCGTTCGTAGTCCTCGGCACCGTAGCTACCGCCGCCGCTACAGCTGCCGCCGCCATGGCGACACAAAGGGGAGGGCACGAGCCGCGCGCTGGCGGCTGTAGTCCCGCCCCTAACGGCTGCCCCAGGCACCCGAGCGCGCCCCACAGGGCGGGGAGAGCAGAGACTCGGCGCCCCTTCTTATTGGCCCTACCCTTGGTTTTAGGATAATGCTCCGCCCACCTAGAGGCTTTTCATTGGCTTTTCTTTGGGCTCCACCCCTGACTGTCTCTTCAGTCCCGCCCTCCGAAGTTTGACAGCGCCACGCCCATGACTGCTTTTCATTGGCTGTTATCTGATCGTGAGACCCACCCCCAGGTTCTTTATGCTTTGCATCCGCCTCTTCTAACACTAAGCAATAAGTCGTCCTCCTTAGTTCACTCTGAGTGGCAGTCCTCCGACAATTGTAATAGGAGTCTCCTACGGTCTCAGAGCTTTGCTTCCTTCCTCAAGTAGCCTTTCAAACCCTTGGTTCCACCGTATCAGTCCCGACCCTAACACCGCCTACAGAATCAGGAGGGCGCCCCGCCCATATTCATTTTTCTTTGCTTTGCACCCTGCCTGGAATTAATAATTCTATACTTGCACCGACGTGGTCTCTTCCTACCTACTAGACATTTTCCTTGTCCCCTCTTCTACTGTCTGCTGGCCTTCAGTCTTCTTTTTCCCAGGAGAAAGGTTAGCCTGCAAGACTGGAACACAGATTTGCCTTCCACAAAGCCAATCCCCATGGTTCGTACAACTGACTGACGAGCTCAGAAAACACTCTATGTAACAATGCCCTTTCCCAACGGGATGCTGTCGCTGGTCATGCCCTCAGCAGAGTCTTCTCACCTCAGAGAATATGTCGCTGGTCCATTCATTCACTCAAAGAGCAATCACTTTCTATTTTTCCAAGTACTGGGGAAGGAACCTAGGACCTTGCTCATGCTAAGCAAGTGCTGTACCACTGAGGCACAACCTAAGCCTCAACTCTCATCACTTTATCCATGGATACATCGATAATTGAAACAAGGAAGCCAGGTGTGGTGGCATTTGCCTGTAATCTCAGCACTCTGGGAGGCTGAGGCAAGAAGATTTTGTCCCCTGGCTGGCCCTGAGGAATTTAGTGGTTTTGTGAAACTCAGTCTCACAATAAAAAACAAGGTAGGGCTGTAGCTCAGTGCAAAGGCCTTGAGGGGTGTCAATTCTCAAATTGTCAGGGAAAAACATATCTTAAATCAGAACTCAAAAGCTGCTCAGGAAGCTAAGGGAGGAGGATCATTGTAAGTTCGAGACCAGCCTGGGATATGAGGTGAGCTCAAGGACAGCCTGAACTTCATAGTGGGACCCTGTCTCAAAACAGACAAAAAACGAAAACAAAAAACCACCCCTAAAAGCTAGCCAGGAGTGTAGCTTGGGAGCACAGCACCTGCCTAGCAAATGCAATGCCCTAAGTCAAATTCCCAGTACAAGAAAAACATTTTTTTTCAAAAGCTAGTGGAGGGGCTGGTGATATAGTTCAGCAGTCTAAAGCACCTTGTAGGCAAGCTTAGGCAGGCACAGGGGACCATGGTTCGATCCCCAGCACCACATTCTGTGCCAGGCCCACTCTTGGGGTGGGCTGAGCTGGCCAAAGGAAGAAAAAAAAAAAAAAAAAGCTAGTGGAAGCTGAACATGTGCCATAGGTTTGTAATTCCCAGAACTTGGCAAGCTGGGGCAGGAGGATCACCTCAAGTTTGAGGCCAGTCTGGACTACATGGCAAGTCCCTGTCTCAAAAAACAAAATAGAAACAAGAAAAAGGGGATAAAAAGTTTGAAAAACTAATAAAGGGAGACAATAAACATTAAAAAACCCAAATGATAAGAGGTTGTACTGACATTATAGCTGACATTCTCTGCTGAGCCCAGTCTTTGACTTTTCTCAGTCCTGGTGCCAGACTGTAAATGAAATTCTAAAGGATTCTATCCCACAACTGTCAGTACTGGGGATTTAACCCAGGGAATGCTGCATAACATTCTGAGCCTTTTAATTTTTAAAAAATATTTTATTTTGGGCCTCCCAGATAGCTCAGAGGACAAAGCGCCTGCTTAGGTAGAGCACAGGGACTGGGGTTCGATCCCTGGCATGCTGTGCCGGGCCCCATCCCCTGGGCATGCTGAGATGGCAATTGAGACTGGGTGTGGTGGTGCATGCCTGTAATCCCAGCACTTGGGAGGCTGAAAAAAGGAGGATCACTACGAGTCCGATCTGTGTAGTGAGACCCTGTAGACCCTGTACTAAGTAAATAAATGAATAAATAGAAAAAAAAATATTTTATTTTGAGATAAACTGCCCAGTCTGATTTTGAGCTTTCAATCTTTCTGACTCAGCCCCTTAAGTAGAGATTATAGGTGTGTGCCATCAGGCCCATCAAAGTAAATATTTTAACATTAAAGTGTTCTATGGAAAAAATTGTGAATTGGGGAAAGGCAGTGCTGGGTGCAGGGGCAGAATCAGTTTGCAGTTATTTATTTTTGTTTTTGGGTTCTTGATTGTTTGTACTGAGTGCTGAACCCAGAGCCTTCACAGTGAAATACATACCCAACCCTTATTTTAAGTTTTTGACACAAGGTTTCCTTAATTTTCCAAAAGGCTGGAATCACAGGAATGTACCATCATACCTTGCCTCCTCTGGTAGTTTTAAAATATGGCTTCGAACGTTTTGGCATTCCACTCACTGGCAGGTAGTGTATGTCCAAGAAACTGGACAGAACCATGACAACTTCAACATATAGAAAATAGTGGAACTGACACTATGAGACTTCTAAGGGCAGTGAGTGAAAGGCAATACAAGTTCCTGTTCGTCCTCTAGGATGAACCATGAGGTTCTAGCTATGGACCATGATGTTTTATATGAGAAGTGTGATTCTGTGGAGGTGGCCATGCTCTGAGGAAACCCAAGTGATGGAAAGAGGTTGTACTGACATTATGGCTGACAGTCTCTGCTGAGCCCAGCCTTTGAGTTTTCTCAGTCCTGGTGCCAGACTGTAAATGAAATTCTAAAGGATTCCACCCCACAACTGTCAAGTCAAGTCACCTTTTAAGGCTTTCCAGATCCCATAAAGAGACAAATTCCTCCCAGCTGTGCCCTGTCCAAACTTCTGACTCAGAGAGCTGGGCATGTTGACGCACACCTGTAATCCCAGCACTCGGGAGGCTGAAGCAGGAGGATTGTTGGGAGTTCAAGAGCAGCCTGGGCTACAAAGTGAACTTAAGGTCAGCCTGAACCGCATAGTGAGACCCTGTCTCAAAAATAAATAAATAAAATAAATTTCTGACTCAAAATCCCTGAGCATAATAAAATGATTGCTTTATGCCATGAAGCTTGGGATGGTTTGTTACTCAGCAATATTAATTAGTATGGCCCCTTCTATTTCATTTAAAATATGACTTATTCAAAAATGTTAAAATATTTACCAAAAAATAAATAAATATTTACCATGTCTGACATATAAAAATTACCTAGGCTATCCTTGAACTTGTGATTCATTTGCTTCACCTTCCTGAGTATTAGGATTATAAATTTTATTTCCCATTGTTTATCAATACAGATATTCAGATAATCCTCATCATATATTCTTCATTTTGTTATGACAAGCTTTTAACATACAGTAAGTTGACAAATTTTACAGTGGACATCCATATGTCCATAGTCAGATCCTACTATCAACATTTTACTATATTGGCTTTATCTCTCATCTACCTACTTATTTATCAGACTAAGCTTTGCATGTATTTCAGTACAAATTGGAGAGCAGCACACTAGCTCCTAAGTATTTTAGCACATAAATCTTTAGCTAGAATTCAATACATATTTTTCTTTTGAGAGAAACTGTATATACAATGAAATTCACAAATTTCACTGATTTACAAAATCACTTACTGATTTCACAAATTAGTAAGTGCATACACCTGTGTAATCCATCCTTAGCTTGGCAATTAAAAAAAGTCTCTAAACCAAGTACCACAGAATAACAGAATGAGGGAGAGAAAGGAAACCAGGTAGTCAGTACCATGGTTTTAAACTGAACTTTGGAAGTTAAGCTGCACCCCTTTCTCTGCATTCCACTTGTTGAGGGGGTACAGTTTCAACTGGACCAACATTGACTCTACTTAAAAAAAATTAATAAATAAAAAAACTGCATTGGGGAAAACAGTTTATACAATTCAAAGTCGTCTAGCTTCAAAAGATGCTCCTTCCCTGTGCAGCCGCCTCGTTAGAGACCTGGGGGATGATCTGGA